TCATGAATATAAAACATTATTATAAAAAAGATAATTACTTAACATTTAACCACTATTATTGTAGGATGTGCAATACTTACTCTTAAAAAAATGTAAGTACAAGTATCTTTAAAAGCTGCATAATGTGTGATTCAACAATTCTAAAAGGGATTCATCTTCACAAAATGATAAAGGTTAGCTGCAAATATTTGATTACAAGGATGCTCATAGTATAATTATTGTTATTATTATTATTATTACTATTTTAAGACACGGTCTTACTCTGTTGCCCAGGCTGGAGCAAAGTGGTGTAATCAGAGCTCACTGCAGCCTCCTGGGTTTAAGCAATCTTCCCATCTTAGCCTCCTGAGTAGCTGAGACTACAGGTGCTCACCACCACTCCTGGATAATTTTTTTTTTTTTTTACAGAGGTAGGGTCTCACTATGTTGCCCAGGCATATTTTCTCTTAAGCTGTTAAGTACAAGAAACATCTTAGATCAATACAGGATTGCTTAAATTATGATCACACAATGGGAAACTAGGTAATATTAAAAAAGATTATGTAGAAGTGTCTTAATTGATGTGGAAAAAATTCCATGATATATTAGAAAGTGAAAATTAGGAGTTACCTTGTTGCTTAGGTGTCTAGTACAGAAAACAGGTCATGACTGTGCTCTGAGCCTGGGGAAGATACTTGACCTCACAGCCTCAGTTCTTCTATCTGTTATGTGTGGAATTTGTGTTACCCTCAAATTCATATGCTGAAGTCCTAATCCACAGTGCGTCAAATGCAATCATATTTGGAGATACAGTTTTTAAAGCGGTAATTAAGTTAAACTGAGGTTATTAGGGGGCCTTATTCCAATATAACTGATATCCTTATGAGAAAAGGAGATTAGAACACAGGGGTACAGGGCTAAGACCAGGTATGGACACAGGGAGAAGACAGTCATCCTCAAGCCAAGATGAGAAGCCTCAAAGGAAACCAACCCTGCCAGAAACTTGATCAGAGACTTCTAGACTTCAGAATTTTGAGAAAATAAATGTCTGTTGCTCAAGCCACCCATTCTGTGGTAATTTGTTACAGCGGTCCTGGCAAACTAATACACCATATAGAAGATGGAGAAAATCTTAATACCCATCTTTATTCAGCTCACAAGTTTGATGTAAGTCAAATAGATATAATCCCTTTGAAAACTGTAAAGCACTATATAAATGTAAATAATGTTACTCACTTGGTCCTTGAAAATCCTGGAGGAATGCAGTCATGTTGTTAAGATTTGAATTTTATATTCCTTTAGTAGGGCAAACAGTACCAAAACAGGGTGTGGGGAGAAGCAAGAGATTTCTTAGGGCTGCAACAAAAAACACAAATGATTTGCCATTGAAACAAGAGGCAAAATAAAAGGAATAGTTCTTTACATCCATGCTGCAAATTGTTAAGCAAACAGACACCTAAACTACACATAATAACAATATCTAATATATATTAAGCATTTACCAAGTACCTAGCACAATCTCAAGTACTTTCAATATGTCTTCCTGGCTGGGCGCGGTGACTCACGCCTGTAATCCTAGCACTTTGGGAGGCCAAGGCTGGTGGATTGCCTGAGCTCAGGAGTTTGAGACCAGCCTGGGCAACATGGTGAAACCCCCATCTCTATTAAAATACAAAAAATTAGCTGGGCGTGGCAGCATGTGCCTATAAGTCTCAGTCACTTGGGAAGCTGAGGTAGAATCGCTTGAACCCGGGAGGTGGAGGTTGCAGTGAGCCAAGATTGTGCCATTGCACCCCAGCCTGGGTGACAGAGTGAGACTCTGTCTCCATAAAAACAAAAAACAAAAAACATATGTGGGTGTATGTGTGTGTTTTCTCTAATTAAATCCCATATCAACCCTATGGTAAAAGTGCTCTGTGTATGTGTGTAGTATACTGTATGTATATATACATATATATATGTTTATTTATGTGTGTGCCTCTATTTTAGTTTTGTTACATGTATTTTTTTTTTGAGATGGGGTCTCACTATGTTGCCCAGGCTGGAGTGCAGTGGTGTAATCTTGGCTCACTGCAACATTTGTCTCAAGGGTTCAAGTGATTCTCCCACCTCAGCCTCCTAATTAGCTGCCAGTACAGGCATATATCACCATGCCCAGCTAATTTTTAGTAAAGATAGGGTTTTGCCATGTTGGCCAGGCTGGTCTCAAACTCCTGACCTCAAGTGATCCATCCACCTTGATCTCCCAAACTGCTGGGATTACAGGCATGAACCACCACACCCAGCCTGTTATATGTATCTTTAAAATGAAAATGTGTTCATATGTGATAGGTAAAAAGAGTAATAAAATTGGCAAAATAAATTGTGATTTTTCCAAGAGATGACTGTGCTTTGCATTACTGTGAAACATTGAAAACACTGCTGACTGAATGAAGTGACCTATGGTGAAACACACACCCATGCCACCTTCCTAATCTTGCCCCAGTTCATCCACATTTATTGCCCTAACATCGGGCACGCTGTTCTACTGTTTGTGTTTATTTTATGATAAGCATATTGAATACATTATCTCCAACCTGAGTAAGCATCCTGCTAATAAGAATCTCAAGTAGTGAATAAAAATAAAAGCCTTAAGTTTTAAGGAGAAAAATGAAATAATAAAATATTTTGAAATACATGAGAAAATTTGCAGGAATCCTCATTACTCATTTAGATTTAGAGATTTAGAAACAAGGCTAAGAAAATAAAAGAAAGGAGAGCTCCTACATCATAATTATCTGCTTCCAGTGGAATTGAGAAGCATTTGGAAGAGAAGGAAGCTAAAGACTCTAATGCTGAATAATGAGTGTAGTTGAGGCTGGGTGTGGTGGCTTACACCTGTAATCCCAGTGCTTTGGGAGGCTGAGGTGAGTGGCTCACTTGAGGTCAGGAGTTTGAGACCAGCCTAGCCTGATCAACATGATAAAACCCTGTCTGTACTAAAAATATGAAAATTAGCAAGGGATGGTGGCAGGTGCTTGCAATCCCAGCTCCTCAAGAGGCTGAGGCAGGAGAGTTGCTTGAACCTGGCAGTGGGAGGTTGCAGTGAACTGACATCTCCCCACTACACTCTAGCCTGGGTGACAGAGCAAGACTCTGTATCAAGAAAAAAAAAAAGGTGGGGAGGGGTCTACCATTTTAACCTAGTAGATTGGCAAAGATTATATTTTTAAAAAGGTTTAAAATAATTAGTTCTGTAATTTTCCCTTGAGAATTTGTTCAAGGGAAATAATGAGACTAGGGTTCAAAAACATATGTACAAGAATTTTCATTACAAAATTGTTTATGGGTTTAAAAAATTGAAGTAATTTAATGTAGCAATTGGGGTTTGGTCAAATTAACCAAAGAATATATTAACCAATATATTCTTTTATTTAGCATTTCTGCTGAAATCTATCTCTTGGAATAGTAAATAAAACCAACAGTTCTTAGGATGCAACATTTATAACAGCAGTTTGTAGAAGCAAAAAATGGCAAATCCACAGCATGGAGGAGGGAAAAGAAAGAAAACTGCTCATGTCCTGGCGCGGTGACTCACACCTGTAATCCCAGCACTTTGGGAAGCCGAGGCGGGTGGATCAACTGAGATCAGGAGTTCGAGACCACCCTGGCCAACATGGCAAAACCCCGTCCCTACTAAAAGTTCAAAAATTAGGCGGGCGTGATGGCATGCGCTTGTAATTCCAGCTACTCGGGAGGTTGAGGCCAGAGAATCACTTGGGCCCAGGAGGCTAAGGTTGCAGTGAGCCAAGATCACACCACTGCACTCCAGCCTGCGCAACAGAACGACACTCCGACTCAAAAAAAAAAAAAATAAAAAAAAAATAAAAAAAAATAAAAAATTGCATATAATGATCATCTTCATGTATTCAGGTAAGAGGTAAGATAATGTGTGCACATTCACGAAATAAAAATAGACTAAAGGGTGCTTTACGAAATACTGTGCAGTTGTAAATAAAGCACAAATTTATATTTTTTAAAGATATAAGTGAAAAAGGTTTCATAACTGTACATATAATGATCCCATTTAGGTAAATATATGTATAAGGTTGTCTGAAGATATTTTGGGACCCCAAACACCTTGACAATGACCACTGAAGACCCCATTCCACAATGGACTTCAACCCAAAAGCTGAGTTGGAGTCATTCGCCACAGGATTTGGTTACCGAGACATTTATTTAAATGTGTATTAACATTGATCTTGCCCTTGAAAAGCTCCTAATTCTAGTTACCTTTATCCAAGCATAAGAGGTTAAAGACCCGCTGGAGATCCAGATGCAAACTGACTGTAAGACTATCGGCGAGTCTCACAGAGCTCGGCTTTGTATTTTCAGACAACCCTTTAATTACAAACGCTTCTGGGCCAATAGGTCTGAAAATGGCTGGGAGTGAGGGGCTGGGGATACAGTGATGAACTGTAGCCGCTGAAGCCCTGTCAGTCGGTGACCCGGTCACCTCGCATCCTCACTGAGCCTTTTTTTTTTTTTAGACGCAGTCTCACAGGCTGCAGTGCAGTAGCGCAATCTCGGCTCACGCCTCACCGGCTCAAGCGATTCTCCCGCCTCAGCCTCCGGAGTGGCTGAGATTACAGGCACCCACCACCACGCCCGGCGAATTTTTGTATTTTTAGTAGAGACGAGGTTTCATCATGTTGCCCAGGCTGGTCTCGACCTCCTGACCTCAGCTGATCTGCCCGCCTCAGCCTCCTAAAGCGCAGGATTACAGGCGTGAGACACGCTTCGCGGTCACTGCACCTTTTCTAAATCTCGGCTCCTACGCACCTCTCAGCAGAGAGAGCGCGGAGAATCTGTCTATGACTTCCAGCCAATAGCTACACTACTTTTCTCAGCCCTACAACTACGGACCAATAGGTAGATGGCTTTCCTTTGAAGCCACGTTCTCTTTCAACCAATCAGAAACGTTTTTCAAACGTTTGCCCGCCCCTCCTTATGCGCTCAGGCTCCTGGAAAGCTGAGTTCACTTCCGGGCCGCAGTCTAGGGCAGCTACGTGTGTTGTCATAGCGACCATTTTGCGTTAACTGGTTGGTAGCTTCTAGCCTGGGGGATGAGCGACTGCGCGCCAGCGCTTCCCCTACTCCCACTCGGCTCCCTGTGGCCCCAAGGCCTAAGCGGGCTCCGGCGGTCTGGCCTAGGGGTCCCCGTGGCCCCTTTGGGGCGGGATGGCTACGGAAGAAGAGGACGAGGTGGAGTGGGTGGTGGAGAGCATCGCAGGGTTCCTGCGAGGCCCGGATTGGTCCATCCCCATCTTGGACTTTGTGGAGCAGAAATGTGAAGGTAAAAACCAGAGCCCGAACCGACAATCCTTTTCTCCTCTCTCACACCAGCGGCGGGCAGGGGGCTGGTAACCACGAAGCATTTTTGTTACCCCCCCACCCCGCTCATCAGGTTTAGAGCTGGTTTTGTGGGAGGAGTTCCTTTTGCCCTGACAATGTGTTCCTTCTCAGACCTGAACCTGGGGACCGAGACTCCCCTTCCCCGAGGCCCAAGCACATGTCCGAAGAATGTTAGACTTTAATCGTAAATTAGGCCTCTTACTTTGTCCTGCACGTTTCTGCCCGGGGCAGGTGGACTGTTTGGCTGGGCTTCTTCAACAGATTCCCAGACTTGAGAGGAGAAGCGTCGGTTTACCTGAGTTACTTACGATCCCTAGCATTTCGCCCTGTGTAGTCAGCTTAAGAAATGAGAAATGATTCACTCCAAACCAACGGTTGACTGCAAAGGAGGCTGTGTGATAACTCCAGGAAGCCCACAGCCGGTGATTTTGGTGGCCTGCATTCCCCTTGGAGAGCTCTCTACTCTTGGCTATACCAAAAATTTGCCAGGTGGGGCCTGGGAACCATTCTTGGAACAAATGAGGCATATAGATGTGGTATAATATTCCCTGTGAGGGACAGGCATCTCCGGGTTCTGAGCAGTTCACGCTTTGAGTTCTGCATTCAGTTCGTGGAGACAATTTGCAGTCCATTCGCAGAAAAGGAACCAGAAATCACGTCATATAAATGAGTGCCCAAGCGTTACTGTGGTTGTTTAGTCGGGCAAGACTTTGAGGGTAGTAATATTAATCAATTACTGGAACATCTGTTTTGTGTTGTAAGGTTCAGTGGAATAGAGTTGGTTCAGTGGTCAGTTGGTACAAGCCACGGGGAAACAAATATCAGTGAAGGACATACTCCATGACAGAATGTATCCAAGATGAGTTAGCCAGCCTCAGAAGGTAATGAGCTTCCTGGCTCCAGCAGTGTTTGAATGGATCTGACAGCGACTTAATAGGGTTAGAGGGATTCAGTTATTCAGCTATCAAATGGTCGGTTATCCTGGATGACGTTTTAAGACTTCTTTAAATTCCAAGATATCATGAATCTGGTAAAGATGAAATTCAGTTTGACCACTGAATCTTTTCATTACATTTTCATTGCTATAATCAAAATTCAAATCATAGCTATTGAAGTGTTGTTTTTACAGGTAATTTTTTAGCAATGTTCAAAAACAAGATAACTTCTATTTGTACTCCTTTTCGTTTGTTTGTTTTTGAGACAGAGTCTCACTCTGTCGTCCAGGCTGGAGTAAAGTGGTGCGATCTTGGCTCCCTGCAGCCTCTGCCTCCCGGGTTCAGGGTTCAAGCGATTCTCCTGCCCCAGCCTCCCTGGTAGCTGGGATTACAGGAGCACACCACCACACCCGGCTAATTTTTGTATTTTTAGTAGAGATGGGGTTTCGCTATGTTGGCCAGACTGGTCTAGAATTCCTAACCTCAAGTGATCCACCTGCCTCGGCCTCCCAAAGAGCTGGGATTACAGGCATGAGCCACCGTGCCCAGCCTGTACCCACCCCTTTTTATTTTGAGACGGAGTCTCACTCTGTCGCTAGGCTGGAGTGCAGTGGCGTGATGTCAGCTCATTGCAACCTCCGCCTCCGGGGTTCAAGTGAGTCTCCTGCCCCAGCTTCTCAAGTAGCTGGGACTACAGGCGCACACCACCACACCCAGCTAATTTTTGTATTTTTAGTAGAGATGGGGTTTCACCATGTTGGCCAGGATGGTCTCCATTTCTTGACCTCATTAACCAAGTGACCCACCTTGGCCTCTGAAAATTCTGGTGTACTCCTTTTAAGAAGTTGAAATGTGGCAGGATGGCTCACACCTGTTATCGGAGCGCTTTGGGAGGCTGAGGTAGGCAGATCACTTGAAGTCAGGAGTTTGGGACCAGCCTGGCCAACATGATGAAACACTGTCTCTAATAAAAATACAAAAAAGCCGCGTGGTGGTGCGAGCCTGTAGTGCCAGCTACTTGGGAGACTGAGGCAGGAGACTCACTTGAACCCGGGATGCAGAGGTTGCAGTGAGCCTAGTTCTTGCCACTACACTCCAGCCTGGACAACAAAGTGAGACTCTATCTCAAAAAAAAAAAAAAAAAAAAAATTGGCCGAGCATGGTGGTGTGCTTCTGTAATCCCAGCTACTCCAGAGGCTGAGGCAGGAGAATCACTTGAATCCAGGAGGTTGCAATGAGCCGAGATCACACTACTGCACTGTAGCCTGGGCAGCAGAGCAAGACACCGTCTGGAAAAAAAAAAAAAAAGTTGACATGTTATTAACCGGGCTGGGTCACTTGCATCTGTACGCCCAGCAACTCAGGAGGCTGAGACGGATCACTTGAGTCCAGGAGTTTGAGGCTGCAGTGAATGATGATTGTGCCACTGCACTGTAGCATGGACGACTGAGACCCATTTCTTTTTTTAAAAAAAAAAGACTGGGCACGGTGTCTCATGCTTGTAATCCCGGCACTGTGGGAGGCCAAGGTGGGTGGATCACGAGGTCAGGAGTTTGACACGAGCCTGACCAACATGGTGAAACCCTGTGTCTACTAAAAATCGAAAATTAGCTGGGCATGGTGGCGTGTGCCTGTAATCCCAGCTACTCAGGAGGCTGAGGCAGGAGAATTTCTTGAACTTGGGAGGTGGAGGTTGCAGTGAGCTGAGATCACGCCACTGCACTCTAGCCTGGGCAACAAAGTGAGACTCCGTCTCAAAAAAAACCCCAAAAACTGAAAACGCTATTGTGAGACTGATAAGGCATGTGGAATTTGACCTAATTTAGAAGAAGAAATTATGCCACCCTTTGATTCCATTTACCCCACTGAGACCAAATGCTGAAATGGAAAAAAATTAAAGCATTGTCCATCTTTTTATCCCTAAATGTCAAAAGTGGATGTATCTCAGTAATAACATACCTGATTGTATAATTTTACAGAGAAGCAGTAATCTACAGCCTTATGAACATGTACAGTGGTGATTTGGTTTCAGAATTAGCTGCTGTATTAAATACCCACTGTATTGCTTATATGTGCAGTGTTACATAGAGCAGATGCCAGGATAAACAGAAGTGACATGCCAGTGACACTTGAAATAATTGTTTATAGTTCATTGTCTCGGGGTTGCCTGTATGCTGTTCTCTACCTCAGATTTAAAGATTAGTCTTTATTTATTTATTTATTTATTTTTTAAGATGGGGTTTCACCATGATGGCCAAGCTGGTCCTGAACTCCTGACCTCAGGTGATCCACCCACCTCGGCCTCCCAAAGTGCTACGATTACAGGCATGAGCCACCGCGCTCAGCCTAAAGATTAGTTTTATGCAGCCTTGTGACATCAACTTTTATTTCAACAAACATTTATTGAAAGTGTCGTTGGGCTAAGCTGAGGCTAGAAGGATGAATGCAACAGAATCTTGTCCTTGAGAAGTTTATAGTGTAGTAGGGAAGACAAGCAGGCAAACAGGATAAAATACAAAGTGGCAGGTGCTATAATAAGGGTAGGTACATGGTGCTGTACAGTATGAATTCAGAGGAAGGGATCTAGCCAGGCTAAGGGCTGGGAGTGAGTAGCAGGTCACGGAGAATATGCCACTTGGTAATATTCTTAAGAATGATCGGGAGAGAGAGGGAATGGGGGTAAAGTAAATGCAAAAAGGAAGGAACAGCTTGAGCAAAGGCCTGGCAATTTGAAGTGGTGTGTGTTGTATTTGGCGATGTTTCAAGTAGTTGTGTGTTGTTAGGAGTGTAAGGTTTGAGTTTCCAAGTTGTGGGAAATGAGATGAAACCTAATTGTGGAGGGTTTTGTCTAGCCTTCTAAGGATTTTGCACTTTTTCTCTAGAAAATGAGCACTTGTTGAAGAGTTTAAACCGAAAATTGCAGAAGTTAGTTTTGCATTTTAGAAAGATCAGCCGGGAGGAATTTAAAGAATATTTATTGTTACAATTCCCAAGTTTGTCCTGTTTCCCTGATTAGATTATAGCTTCTTGAGAAAATATTTATATTTCTAATCTACATTGTTTTATACATATGATCTTTCAGTAAACACTTGTTTTGATTTTATTTAACTTCATTATTTATCTATAGTAACAAAAATGGCCTGGTCACTTTCAGTAACATTTACATCGGCAAAATTCCAGTACAGTAAAATAATTTGGAGCCTATTGTAAAAGGACTTAACCATTAATAAGAATATTCCATTAAAAGTTATGAAGAAATTATTTCCTCATATTGATTGAAATGTGTTTTTGGTCTTAAATATGAGATAGTGTTCATTTTAAATATTTTCTCAAGTAGGCAAAAAAGCTTGTTTATGATTAATAGTATATATATACACATATATATACACAATTGATAGTGTATATATATACGTATATATATAAAATATATATATATGTGTCTATATGTATATTTTTTGTTTTGTTTTGTTTTGGAGACAGAGTCTCACTCTCTCGCCCAGGCTGGAGTGCAATGGCTCGATCTCAGCTCACTGCAACCTCCATCTCCTGGGTTTGAACAATTCTCCTGCTTCAGCCTCCCAAGTAGCTAGGACTACAGGCGCCTGCCACCACACCTAGCTAATTTTTGTATTTTTAGTAGAGACAGGATTTCACCACTTTGGCCAAGTTGGTCTTGAACTCCTGATCTCAGGTGATTCGCCTGCCTCGGCCTCCCAAAGTGCTGAGATTACAGGTGGGAGCCACTGTGCCTGGCCAATAGTATATATTTTTAGATATATTCATTTATATATTTTTAAAAAGATAATCCCTAAGAATTCAAAGCTGAAGAGCTAGGCTATAGGAATGACAGTTCTATTTGTAAGGAGTGGATTTTTGTATTTGCAGTAATAAAATGATTTTTTTACACTATGTAATATTTTCTTTTAAATTTAGTTTTTGATGATGAAGAAGAAAGCAAATTGACCTACACAGAGATTCATCAGGAATACAAAGAACTAGTGAGTATTTTTTTTCACTGATTTTTAAAGGTAATGAGGCTAATATTACTTCCAGCTTTTCTAAATGAAGAAATTTTTTTTTCATTAAAAATCCTGAATTTTACAAAAATCCAGTCTACCTTAACAATAGTGCCTGTTATACCTGTCTCCACAGATTCTCTGAGCATCTCATTTTTATGACTTCTTATCTCCTCTGCTCTTAAATCTAAGGAATGGTTTTACAGCTGTTTATGGGCTCTTGCATGTATTCTTTATATTTTATTCTTATTTTGTTGATGCATCCAAGGACATATTAGTTACTTAGTCATGATTGTCTTGTGATTTTTTTATTTTTGAGACTGGGTCTTGCTTTGTCACCCAGGCTGGAGTGCAGTGGCCCTATAACAGCTCATTGCAGACTCAGCTTCCCCAGGCTCAAGCAATCCTCCCATCTCAGTCTCCTGAGTAGCTGGGACCACATGCGTGCACCTCCACACCCTGCTAATTTTTTTGTGTTTTGTAGAGATGGGGTTTCACCATGTTTCCCAGGCTAGTGTCCAACTCCTGAGCTCAAGCAATCTGCCTGCCTGGGCCTCACAAAGTGTTGGGATTACAGGTGTGAGCCACCGTGCCTGGCCTTGTCCTGTAATTTTTTTTTTTTTTTTTTTTTTTGAGACGGAGTCTGGCTCTGTCGCCAGGCTGGAGTGCAGTGGCGCAATCTCAGCTCACTGCAACTTCTGCCTCCTGGGTTCAAGCGATTCTTCCGCCTCAGCCTCCCGAGTAGCTGGGACTACAGGCACGTGCCACCACACCCGCCTAATTTTTGTATTTTTAGTAGAGACGGGGTTTCATCATGGCGAGAATGGTCTCAGTCTCTTGACCTCGTGATCCGCCCGCCTCGGCCTCCCAAAGTGCTGGGATTACAGGCGTGAGCCACAGCGCCCGGCCGTCCTGTAATTTTTAAAAATGCCTCTGGCAGTGAGGCGCAGTGGCTCACACCTCTAATCCCAGCACTTAGGGAGGCTGAGGCACGTAAATTGATTGAGGCAAAGAGTTCGAGACCAGCCCAGGCAACATGATGAAACTCCATCTCTATAAAAATTACAAAAATTAGCCAGTCATGATGGCACGCACCTCTCTCTAGTCTTAGCTGCACGAGAGGCTGAGGTGGGAGGTTGGATCTCTTGAGCCCAGAAGGTCAAGCCTGCAGTGAGCCATTACTGTGCCACTCAACTCCAGTTTGGGAAACAGAGTAAGACCCTGTCTCAAAAAAAAAAGAAAAGAAGTCCAGGTGTAGTAGCTTATGCCTGTAATCCCAGCACTTTGGGAAGCTGGGGTGGGCGGATCACCTGAAGTCAGGAATTAGAGACCAGCGTGGCCAACATGGTGAAACCCTGTCTCTACTAAAAAAAAATACAAAAATTAGCGGGCATTGTGATAGGCACTTCTAGTCCCAGCTACTCAGGAGGCTCAGGCAGGAGAATCACTTGAGCCTGGGAGGCAGAGGTTGCAGTGAGCCAAGATCACACCACTACACTCCAGCCTGGGTGACAGAGTGAGACTCCATCTCAAAAAAGAAAGGAAAGAAAAGAAGAAGAAAAAATGCCTCTGAGTAGCAGAAGAGTTGTGCTACACTGAACTTCATAATCCTGACTTCAACTATTTCTATTAGAAGAAATACAGTTTCATGTGATTTTCTGCAAAAATATTAACTTTTAATTTGTGTTTTGGTGGAAGACAATGTCACTGCCATGTAATATAATATTATGTAGATTAATATTTGCAAAAAATTTGATTATACGTTTCTAAACTCAATACTTAATATGCAAACTGTCATGTAGAACTTTTCTATGTAATTATAACAGTGAAACTTTGTCTTTTTAGGTTGAAAAGCTGTTAGAAAGTTACCTCAAAGAAATTGGAATTAATGAAGATCAATTTCAAGAAGCATGCACTTCTCCTCTTGCGAAGACCCATACATCACAGGTTTTTGCTTTGTATTATTCTGCTAACATACAGTTTTAACAAAAATGCCCAGGGTTTCACTTAAATTTGAATGTTTGATTGACAAGCAATACTTTAGACATTGTGAGAAGTGGAAAGATAATTCATCATATATGAGTTCTTTTTGAGAGCAACCCTGAAATATGATAATTTGAGGCATAAATGAACTGATGCAATTCAAAGTGACCTTTCTAAACTCAGAACTAGAATAAGATCACAGGGATTATACAAACTACTGTTTTATTTACATAGATCTCTTATAATTCTGTAGTTGTTCCTTTTATAATTTTAGAGGATCCACAGTCAGTAGTTCCTGTAGCTTCCTTCTCTTAGAACTACTTTTATTATCTTACTGGTTGTGTAGTGCTAGGCTGAAGTAGTGATACATATGTTTATAAACTGTTTTTGTTGTTGTTTTTGAGATGGAGTCTCACTCTGTTGCTCAGGCTGAAGTGTAGTGGTACGATTGCAGCTCAATGTAGGCTCAACCTCCTGGGCTCAGGTAATCCTCCTACTGAATTCAGCCTCCCTAGTAGCTGGGACTGCAGGTGCTGCACTAGCACATCTGGCTAATTTTTGTGGTTTTTTTAGAGACAGGGTCTTGCTGCGTTTCCCAGGCTGTTCTTGAACTCTGGGCTCAAGCGATTTGCCCACTTTGGCCTTTCAAAGTGCTAGGATTATAGGCATGAGCCACCACCTGCAGCCTATAAACTAATATCTATTGAGGGCTTATGCTAGTTGATATTTTAGGCACTTGACATGTTTTATTTCATTTAATCTTTCTAACACTCTTAAGAAACTGGTACTATATAACTTCCATTGAGAAATGAGGAAACCAAAGCACAGAGATATGAAGCCAATAGTCCAAAGTCCACAGCTAAATAAGTAGTAGAGCCAGTATCCCCAGCCAAGGCAAGCCAACTGCTCAGAGGGTAAGGACTGGGATATATTGCTAGTACCCAAGTAGCCTTCTGCTCAAAAACTAAAGGCCAGGCAGTGACTCATGCCTATAATCCCAGCACTTTGGGAGGCCAAGGCAGGAGGATTGCTTGGGGTTTGAAACCAGCCTGGGCAACATAGTGAGACCCCAACTCTAAAAATAATACAAATGTTAGCCGGTTATGGTGGTGTTCTCCCATAGTCCCCTTACTCAGGAGGCTGAGGCAGGAGCATCACTTGAGCCCAGAAGGTCAACGCTGCAGTAAGACAAGATGGTGCCACTGCTCTCCAGCATGGACAGCAGATTGAGACCCATCCCTGAAAAACAAAACACTGGCTTTGGCATCTCATCTTCTACCAAATAAACTCTGATTTCTTAGCTAGCAAGATAAGGTAAGAATTGTTTAAGATGAGACTCCAGATTATAATGTTAGCCATGATTTCTTGCTGTAGTTCTCCAATGTATTATGTTCTACTGCCATTCCAGGTCACTTGCTCTTATGAGCATCTGTGTACCTAGCTTTGCTAATGCTGTCCCTTAACCGGGAATCTGTGGTCCCCTCCTCAGACTACTCCATCATTCCTTTCATCACGTGGAGAAATCCTCCTCATCAGGACCTGTTTGAATTGCTACTTGTTACAGCAGCTTTGTTGTTTATTCTAATCAGAACCAAATTCATTCTCCTTAACTAGCCCAATTTTAAATTGATATTTTTGTTATTCTGCCTTGAATTACAGTTTCCTACAAGTCTATTTGCTCTACTAGATTGTAAGTCCTTTGAGCTGTTTTTAGTATCTTTGCACTCCCTGCTGGTAGAACAGAGATGAAAACTTAGTTTCTGGTACGTAGTTCTCAATAAATGTTTCTTAATTTAAATTATCTTGTTATTATCACCTAGAAGATGTTGCCTTGACTACTTTTTAACCCAGCATTTCCTCTTTTGTACAACTTTTCATTTGATGATCAAATAGAAAATCTTCTTTTTGTTTTTGTTCTTGAGACAAGGTCTTGCTCTGCCACCCTGGCTGGACTGCAGTGGTGTAAACATAGCTCTCTGCAACCTCTAACTCCTGGGTTCAAGTGAATCTCCTGCCTCAGCCTCCTGAGTAGCTAGTTCTATACATGTGCACCATTATGCCTGGCTAATTTTTCAGTTTTTTTTGTAGAAAGGGAGTTGTGCTGTGTTGCCCAGGCTGGTCTTGAGCTCCTGGCCTCAAGCAATCCTCCTGCCTCAGCCTCTCAAAGCTCTGAGATTACAGGTATGAGCCACTATATTTTGGCTGGGTGTGATAGCTCATACCTGCAATCCCAGTGCTTTGGGAGGCCAAGGGAGGGGGATTGCTTTAGGCCAGTGGCTCGATACCAGCCTATGCTACAAAGCAAGACCCCATCTCTACAAAAAATACAAATACAAGAATTAGCTGGGCATGGTGACATGCTCCTGTAGTCCTAGCTACTTGAGAGGCTGAGGTGGGCGGATTGCTTGAGCCCAAGAATTTGAGGCTTGCAGTGAGCTATGACTGTACCACTGTACTCCAACCTGGGCTGCAAAGTGAGACCCTGTCTAAAAAAAAAATAATAATAATAATTTAGATGTTATTGGTACGCCCACATTATGTGAAAAAATCTAGCGATTTCCAAGAAGACATAACAATCCTTAACGTGTATGCACCTAATAACAAAGCAACAAAATGTGTGAGGCAGAAACGGAACTGCAAGGAGAAATAGATTAATACATGATTATAGTTGGAGACTTTAGCACCCTCTGTCAGTTTTGGACAGATCCAGTAGTTAGAAAATCAATAAAGACATAGTTGAACTAAACAGCACCTTCAGGCCGGGCATGGTGGTGGTTCATGCCTGTAATCCTAGAACTTTGGGAGGCTGAGATGAGCAGATCACTTAAGGTCAGGAATTCGAGACCAGAATGGCCAACATGGTGAAACCTTGTCTCTACTAAAAATACAAAAATTAGTGTGGCTTGGTGGTAGGCGCTTGTAATCCCAGCTTTTCGGGAGGCTGAGGCAGGAGAATTGCTTGAACCTGGGAGGTGGAAGTTGCAGTGAGCTGATATTGCACTACTGCACTCTGGCCTGGGCGACAGAGCAAGACTCTGTCTTTAAATAAATAAATAAATAAATAAACAAACAGCAGCTTCAGTCAGCTGAATTTAATGGAGATTTATACACCACTTCATCTAACAACCAAAAATACACATTCTTCTCAAGATCACACAGAATAGTCAAGACAGATTACATTATGGGCCATAAAAGACATCTCAACAAATTTAAAATGGAAATCATACAGTGTCTGCTTTCAGACCACAACCTAATTAAACTGGAAAAAAAATAACAAAAGATAGTTGGGAAAAGCCAAAATACTTGGAGATTAAACAACACACTCTAAAAAACACATGTGGGCCAGGCATGGTGACTCATGCCTATAATCCCAAGCACTTTGGGAGGCCAAGGTGGGCAGATTGCTTGAGCCTAGGAGTTTGAGACCAGCCTTGGCAACATGGTGGAACTACATCTCTACAAAATACAAAAAAATTAGCAGGGCATGGTGGTACGTACCTTCCACCATATTGGCCAGGCTGGTCTCAAACCGCTGACCTTAGGTTATCCACCCACCTCAGCCTCCCAAAGTGCTAGGATTACACGCATGAGCCACCGTGACTGGCCACAATTTTTGTTTTATAGAATTATAAGGAATTATGTAATTATACTATATATAAAATATATAATCATAGAATAATTGTAAAGTATTATATGTTATAGAATTGTAAACAAATGTCCATCTTTATTCCTGATCATCTTTCTTGTTCTGAGGTCTACTTTATCTGAAATTAAATTAAGCTATTCCAGCTTTCTTTTTAAACAACTTTATTGAGATATAATTTGCATACCATAATATTCATTCTTCTGAAAATTTTTTTTTTTTTTTTAAATGGAGTTTTGCTCCACCACCCAGGCTGGAATGCAGAAGCGTGATCTTGGCTCACTGCAACCTCTGTCTCCTGGTTCAAGCGATTCTCCCATCTTAGCCTCCTGATAAGCTGGGACTACAGGAGCGTGCCACCACACCCAGCTAATTTTTGTATTTTTTTAGTAGAGACGGGGTTTCACCATGTTGACCAGGCTAATCTTGAACTCCTGACCTCAAGTGATCTGCCCACCTCAGCCTCCCGAAGTGTTGGGATTACAGGCATGAGCCAGTGTGCCTGGCCGAGAACCCTGTTTTTAAAGTAAAAATTTTAAATTGTCCCTTTGAGACATCTAGTCATACATAATAAGGTAGCATTCTTGAATTAATCTATGGTTTTGCAGTGGAAATAATTTGAATGTGTGGGCAATAATTTTAAAATTTGAACCTTCATTTCACTTGAGGCTTCTTTCCACAGGCCATTTTGCAACCTGTGTTGGCAGCAGAAGATTTTACTATCTTTAAAGCAATGATGGTCCAGAAAAACATTGAAATGCAGCTGCAAGCCATTCGCATAATTCAAGAGAGAAATGGTAAAATATTGAAGTTAGAAATCTAAGTGCTAAGTGTATTTTTGTTTACAGTTTTGACTATTCTAATTTTAATATGGTCTTAAATGTAGCTACCTTGTGTACATTTATTTCGTTTGAAAGACTTTAGCTGACTTGAGATTTAAGAGTAAACTTCCTGACCTGTATTTGACATCTCAAAAAAAGGAGACCAGAATTCAATGATACTTTGGATTTCACAGAGTTCGATTTTCTGCCCAGCCATTATGTTTATGAAATTAAGTATTTTTAAGTGGTCATAGTGGTAGTTACTGTTGAGAGGTGTTCATCCTTCTTCTGGCTTATGATTGTTAGGACCTTTGTAGGAAGCAGTGGTTCTTAAGCCTTAGCAAGTATTGGAAATGGTTGGAGGGCTTGCTGAAGCACATATGGCTGCCTCCCAGTTTCTGATTTAATAGGTCTGGAGTATTGATAATTTGCATTTTTAACAGTGATATGGTTTGGCTGTGCCCTCACCCAAATCTCATCCTGAATTCCCATGTGTTGTGGGAGGAACCCAGTGGGAGATAATTGAATCATGGGGGCAGGTCCTTCCCATGCTGTTCTCCTGATAGTGAATAAGTCTCACGAGATGTGATGGTTTTGAAAAGTGGGAGTCTTCCTGCACAAGCTCTCTCTTTGCCTGCTGCCATCCATATAAGAGGCGATTGCTCCTCCTTGCCTTCTGTCATGATTGTCAGGCTTCCCCAGCCATATGGAAATGTAAGTCTGGTTAAACCTGTTTGCTGTGTAAATTGCCCAGTCTTGGATATGTCTTTATCAGCAGCATGAAAACAGAGTAACACAAACAAGTTCCCAGGTGATGCTGAAGCTGCTGGTCCTGGGACCATACCGAAACGTACTGTTCTAAGGCACTGGGCAGAGACAAATATGCTTGTACCAGTGTCACGTGGAAGAGAAAAATGGAACTCAAAGCCCTATTGACCCTCATTAGTTTTATCTTTCCCCAACTCTGTGTCAAGCTCACTTTCTCTCTAGCTCTTCCTGCTCTTGTTCCCTTCTTGTGTGCCTGAACTACATTTAACATCCTGACTCAAAACAGCTGAGTTTCTAACCATGCTGCTTGTTATTGTACCCAGATTATCATCTCTTTCTAACCCGTATTATCATTTCTGTTTCACATTTCTTGCTGTGGTAACCTCACCTTAATTTCTATGTCTTCCTTAGCTCACTAGATGGCCATGATGTTTTTTACCATGGCAGATAATCAGTCTCTTTAATGGTTTGGCAGCAGGACCTTTCCTTTGATTGTTTCTTGAAGATGTGAGATCTATAGTTCAGTTGCATCGTTTGCTCTTAAGGGCCTGGAACGTGAAACAATAGGGCTTCTGTTGTTGCATGGCAAACATGAGAATTTTGCAGAGCCCTTGTTGGAGAGTTTACTTCTCACTTGACTATGTGAGTAGAGACTCGTAGAGCCAGCTACCATCATAATCATCTACTAGACCCCCAAGATGCTTTCCCCAGTAACTAATAGAACTGTTGTATGTGGGTAGGGGGAGAACACCACCCTAGCCCTGAAGAATGCATCACAGTGCTATTACTTCCATGTAAATAAGTTTGGAAAATAGTCTGTGTCTTTCTACTGTGGTTTGCTCTATAAAATCCTTTCCTTTGAATTTTCCTGAAAACTGTGCTTCATTCTGACTTGTGAGTTAGAGAATTTTAATAAGTGTGTTAGTAAAAAATATTTTTTAGGGTATCAGGAGAAGACATAGTGAACTTGACATTGGCATTCTGTAGTTTTCAGTTTGGAATTTAATTGGAAACTCATTTAGGTTTTAATAAAAAGGGAATAAATGCATATCTTATATCATGTGGATGCCTCAGGCTATCAGTAAAAGAACACCCCAATGAAAAAAACATCTCCCAGAACAAGAAGTCCAGAGGAAGGGACAGAAGGAAGGCAGGTTCAGAGTTGGGTAACATAGTGGCTCAGTGATGTGATCAAGGACCTTGACACTTTGCATCTTTACACTGTGCCATTCTCAGGATCTTCTCTCATAATTATACTTTGGCTGGACTGAATGCAGACTCAACAATGTCTTATGAAGAAATGGAATAGTACATCCTTCTGTATATCTCTTTTTGTTAGCAAGACAACAATTTCATGGAAGCCTTCCAGTTTTCCCCTCAAGTCCTATTGATTAGGATTCAGGTCACTTGCCTTTCTTAAACCATCTGGCAAGGGGAATGAGACCATTATGATCGGCTTGAACCAATTAGGGGTCACTGTCCTGGGATAGGGGAGGGCCCTGCCTCTAAGTACTTAGCTGCCTGATAATTCTGCAAAAGCTGACTTCTATTAGCAAGGGAGGAGAAGGGGAATGATGTAGAATAATGACTATTGTCAGACCACAGCATGGGGCATTTTACTTACATTTAAACATAAACTAATAACTTAGTTTCTGCTATAGACTTTCTAATACATGTATTTAAGAGTTTTGCTGGCCAGGCACAGTGGCTCATGCCTGTGGCCCCAGTGCTTTCAGAGGCTGAGGCAGGAGGATTGCCTGAGCCCAGAAGTTTGAGGCGGCAGTGAACTATGCCCCACTGCATGCCAGCTTGGGCAATAGAGTAAGACTCTGTCTCAAAACTAAAAAAATAAAAGAAAGAAAGAAAGAATGTTGCCTAACTGAGATCCAGGGGTGAGTACCTTAATGTCGATTATACTCAAAGCTGCAGACTATTTGAAAATAGTCCTAATGATGAGAAAAAAAAATCAAAGGCTCTCTGGATTCTTGGTTGTATCTTATTAAAGAATTTGGAGAAAATGCAAATGAGAGTATTATTTTGATGGTTTTTAAGTACTTTGTACTGTTGTGTTATTCTTAGTACTTTCAGTTTCCTTAGAAAGATGATTAGAATAATAAGTGTATATTTTTTTGACTGAGCAAAAATGCACTTAAGATTGATGGATTATTCAGATGTCAATTTTCTGGTTGTGATACTGTACTACTATAGTTTTGTAAGATGTTATCACTTGGGGAAACGGGGTAAAGAGTACATAGCAGCTTTCTGCATTATTTCTTAAAATTGCACTTACCGCAAAAGAAAACATTTAACTTTTAAAAACGTATTTAAACATGAGGAGGATTAGAGTAATAAAGCTATTTTAGAGTGGATCCAAAATCCCACAGTCATATGTGAATAAAGAAATGGAAGGTAAAAATTAAGCAGCATTCTGCTAATGTTGTGGAATGTAATAATTATAGATAGAAACAGAACAATTATTACCAATCCACCTGCTTTGCAGGAAGAAAAGATAATAAAGTAAATTAAACCAATATTTTAAGTTACTTTTTATTTTCTTGGGCTGAAGCTGCTACTTCCCTGGTTTATGATTATTAGACCAGTATCTGAACAGAAGCTTCAAGGGCAGAGATCATTTTATTCATCTTTGTAGCCCCCCAAAGTGCTTAGCACCATGCTTTTATTGCACATAGTAAGCAGGGCCCTTTTCAATAGCATCTGATAAAATATGAACGAAGAGTTTTAATGTTATTTCAGTTAACAAAATCATATTTTGTTTTGTGACTCTTCTCATTTAAGGGGCACCTTTGAGATCAGTTTCATTGTTAAGCCTAACTCAATGATTTCCATGGTATATTCTCAGACGCTATGTGATTATGGAAGAGAAAAACATATTAACAAATGTTTGCTGCCACACATTGTTATTTTAATTGACAATAAAATAGTTACTAATAGATATTTCTAGTTAAAATTGTGGGGTTTTTGGTGGGGCTTACTCCGTAAAATAAAAAAAGGCTTAAAAGATGGTAGTTAAAAATGGCTGGGAGTGGTGGCTCATGCTTATAATCCTAGCACTTTGGGAGGCCGAGGCAGGCACATCACTTGAGGTCAGGAGTTTGAGACCAACTTGGCTGACATGTTGAAACCCCACCTCTACTAAAAATTGGCTGGGCATGGTGGTGGGCAGCTATAATCCCAGTTACTCCAGAGGCTGAGGCAGAATTGCTTGAATCTGGGAGGCAGAGGTTGCAGTGAGCTGATATCACACCACTGCACTCTGGCCTGGGTGACAGACAGAGACTCTGTCTCAATAAAAAAAATTAAAAAATAAATAAAAAACAAAAGATGGTAGTTAAAAAGATAATACCTTAGGAAGTTACCATGATAGATCTGAAGTTAACTTCTGCGTAAGGAACTAGAACAGTGAGAAATAGATGTTTTCAGTTGAGTTGATACTATTCCATGTGGTCTTTGGTTTCAAACAGGTGTATTACCTGAATGCTTAACGGATGGCTCTGATGTGGTCAGTGACCTTGAACAGGAAGAGATGAAAATCCTGAGGGAAGTTCTTAGGTACCAATCTCTAATTATTTTTTAAATGAATCATTAGTAATATTGTATGATCTGTACATATGCTTTTGCCTGACAAATATGAACTAATAAAATTGCTGAATTCTCCACTGAAGACCATCAAAATGATTTATCATTATATGACTGTGAATATATTTCTTAATGACAAAAAAAGTTATTTTCTGTCTAAGTGAGAGGGTCTTTTCACACTCCCATTATAGGAATAGGAAAGTAGCCACCAATGGGAAAAGTTGCAGTAGACCCAGCCTGATCTCTGGAGAGAGGCATAATGACTTGAGCTAAGCAGAAAACTCTATGGCTTCTGGATCTCATGATGGAGGTGGCATATTCTAGGTGTCACATGGTAGGAGGCTGGGCATCTAGACTCCACAGTTTGAATAGCCAACTTGGTGATAGTAACCTGCAAGGGAGCAAGGACAGTGAGAGGCATCTCTCCTAGATGAGTGTCTTGCCAGTCTCTTTGTCTCCCCTGTTATATGATTCTCAGCCAAATGCCTGGCAAGGAGTGTGCAGACCAATAAGGGGGTCCACACAGAACTAATATAGGTTAAGGGACATTCCTTTTTCTTTTGAGCCTGTTGTGCCCTGACCTTTATGGGAATTTTGGAAGGAAGGAGCAGTAGTAGCTCCTAATTTTTAAATCTCCTGTGAGAATATATTAGGTTTAGGGCAAAAGGATGCTATAATCACGGTGTCACCTGCAGACTATGGCATTGGCCTTTGGGGTCACCACTTCTCCAACCATACTACCACACATGACCATTGTCTAGCATCCTGTGGTTCCCCTGCTTAGGAACTTTGTCCCACCTCCAAAGCAGAAGAGAGGATAGGAGGATGGGCCTGTTGGGAAACTATGGCAGGAGCTCGGTGCTTAATTTCAGGGAGTTTGAGTGATTATGGAGAGGGCAGCAGATATGCTGGTGAACTAAACCCTTTCTTGCCAGATCCTTCTTTGGATGGCAGGGGAAAATGGGAGCCTGAGATGATACAGAATGCTATGAGTTTAAGGTTTGAGAGGTAAGGGTTTTTGGTTCAAAGGACTGGTAAAGTTTTGATTTGGAGTGGTTGTGTTGGTTGATTGGTGGCCTGAAAACTGGTCAGCATTGTATTTTTAGATTTTATTTTCTAAGAGCTTTTGAGGGGATATACTACTGTATAAGTAATAGAACTTAGTTGTGAACATGTATAACAGTTGAACTTGGTTACTTTCCAAAATCAGTATGTCTCAGTGAGCAGTTTACAAAAACTGATAGGCTTTGGGACAGTGGTATCACGAGTGCTTGATGTTAGCTCAGATGTCACCGGAACAATAGCATTTTATCAAGAGGGGCGTTATGGCTCTTATCAAGAGGGGTGTAATTGATCTCTCTAAAGAGGGTGATTGAAGTCCTTATTAATGAGATTTGCCATTCAAATTGGGTTTATTAATTATAACCTTATTAATGAGGTTTGCCATTCAAATTAGGATTTCAAATCTGTTGATCTTTGTTCATTTGGAGTTCTAGAAGAAATAGGTAGACCTGTATTTTATGTTACTAACTATATTATGCTGTATGCCTATGTGTGTCTTTCCCAGTTGACTGTAAGCCATTTTAGAGCAAGGCTTGATTATCTTCCATCTTTGTGTCTAATATGCCTTGTATTGTAAGCTTAGGTTAGCATGTTGCTTAGTTGAATATTTGTTCTTTGACCAAAAAAGGAAAATTACTTTTTACCTTATTTTTGTGTATTTTAGAAAATCAAAAGAGGAATATGAACAGGAAGAAGAAAGGAAGAGGAAAAAACAGGTGCCTACAGAACATATAACAAAAGTATTTTATATTTATGGCTGTTATCTCTTATTAAGTTTACACCTAGTTCTTACTATTAAAATTTATACTTATGTGGAACTACATAATTCCTCAAAGTAGTCATTTTTTTGGCAAGTATAAGCATTTGTATTTAACTTTTTATACTTTTTTCCCCTTTATTTTTGTCCTGGTAACTCACAGAACAACTTTTTTTTTTTTTTTTTTTTTTTTTTTCTTCAGGCTGACTCTCACTCTGTTGCCCAGGCCAGAGTGCAGTGGAGCAATCTCAGCTCACTGCAGCCTCCGCCTCCCAGGTTCAAGCGATTCTCCTGCCTCAGCTTCCCGAGTAGCTGGGATTACAGGTGCCCACCACCATGCCAGGCTAATTTTTGTATTTTTAGTAGAGACAGGGTTTCACCATGTTGGTCAGGCTGGTCTTGAATTCCTGACCTCATAATTTGCCCACTTTGGCTTCCCAAAGTGCTGGGATTACAGATGAGAGCCACTGTGCCCAGCCAGAACTTTTTATACTTTTTTTTTTTTTTTTTTTTTTTTTTTGAGATAGAGTCTCACTCTGTCACCTGGGCTGGAGTGCAGTGGCACAATCTTGGCTTACTGCAACCTCTGCCTCCTTGGTTCAAGAGATTCCCCTGCCTCAGTGTTCCAAGTAACTGAGATTACAAGCCTGTGCCACCACACCTGGCTAATTTTTTTAAATTTTTAGTAGAGATGGGGTTTCACCATATTGGCCAGTCTGGTCTTGAACTCTGACCTCATGTGATCCACCCACCTTGGCTTCCCAAAATGCTGGGACTATAGGCATGAGCCACTTTGCCTCGCCAACGTTTTATACTTCTTAATATAGAAATTATATACTTTTTTTTTTTTTGAGATTGAATCTTGTTCTTTTGCCAAAGCTGGAGTGTAGTGGCGAGATCTTGGCCCACTGCAACCTCTGCTTCCCAGGTTCAAGCGATTCTCGTGCCTCAGCCTCTCGAGTAGCTGGGATTATAGGCACCTGCCACTATACCTGGCTAATTTTTGTGCTTTTAATAGAGACAGGGTTTCACCATGTCAGCCAGGCTGGTCTCAAACTCCTGACCTCAAGTGATCCACTGGCCTTGGCCTCCCAAAATGCTGGGATTATAGGCATGAGTCACGGCACCTGGCCAAAAGTATATACTTTCCTATAAGAGTGTATACTTTATACTTTCTTTTAAAGAGGCCAGACATGATGGCTCATGCCTGTAATTCCAGCACTTTGAGAGGCCAAGGTGGGTGGATCACCTGAGGCCAGGAGTTTGAGACCAACCTGGCCAACATGGCAAAACCCCATCTCTACTAAAAATACAAAAATTAGCCTAGCGTGGTTGGTGCACACTGTAATCCTATCTACTCAGGTGGCTCAGGCATGACAATCATTTGAATCCAGGAGTCGGAGGTTGCAGTGAGCTGAGATTGCACGACTGCATTCCAGTCTGGGTGATAGAGTGAGACTCCGTCTCAAAAAAACAAAGAAAAAGAAACATATAATGTTTTTGGATCCTTTAGGTAGTGAATTCATTAAAATGAATCTAAATTGTATTTTTTTTTTTTTTTTTACTGTATCCTGAAGTTATCAGAGGCTAAAACAGAAGAGCCCACAGTGCATTCCAGCGAAGCTGCAATAATAAATAATTCCCAAGGGGATGGTGAACATTTTGCAGCCCTACCCTCAGGTAAGATTTATGAATACATAAACACCATATATAATGTGCTACTTTCAAAAGAAAAAAAATGTGCTACTTTCTCATACTTAATTTACTTCAAAAACCCTGGGAGGGAGTATTGAATGTCTTTGGTATTTAACGTTCTTTGTGAATTTGATTAAAGAGGTTGCAGACAAGAGATACTGAGCTGAAAGAGAAAGTAGAGTCCCCAAATTTCCATGTAAAGCCTGGAACCCAGAGTAGAGAGCAGAACTTTTTGAGGGAATAACTAGCCTTTGTGCGTGGCTGCAGCTTACAAGACAGGTTCACATAACATTCGGTATTCTCTTCCATGCTCACAGTTATTTGGTATTTGTGAGTGAGAAGCTGAACTTGGAAAGATAATCTTTCTTTTCTAATGAATTAAGTACAGCTAGAAAATAAGAAGTAGCCATTTTGTCCAGATGTTTAGTCAGAAATTGTATCTTAAAACCAAAATTGGTAAGAATCCTTGTAGGAAATATTAGTGGATGACCTTTTCAACGTGGCAAAATCTATGTTGAATATGAACTGATTTTCTATGTAAGAAAACAAGTAGTTCTGAAACAGATATTGTAGTCATGAATTCAGTTCATTTTATTATGTATTCCTGTGGTTTTAATGTCCTTTTCTCAATTAAAAAAATATAACTCTGTGAGGTAGATATTATGATCCTGGTTTTTCTTTTATCTTTTTTTTAAAAAATATTCTTGTTGAGTCAGGTATTACTGTGTTGCCCAGACTGGTCTCAAACTCCTGGCCTCAAGTGATCTTCCTGCCTCAGCCTCCTAAAGCACTGGGAATACAGGCATGGGCCACTGTACCCATCCCTTCTTTTTTTTTTTTTAAGAAATTCAAGGAAGCTGAGCAACTTGTCTAACAAAGATCACTGAACTCTTCAGTGGTGGAGTTATGACTTACCTTCGTCTTCTGACACTAAAAATGTTCTTCTATACCTTAGTTTAGAAGAACTTCTATAATTGATATTAATGTGATGTTTACCCATTAATTTTTTATGTAAGTTGGAGAGCAATTTTCTTTTTTTAATATGCTTAATTGAAGCTGTTTTAGATTCACAGTAAAATTAAGCAGAAGGTACAGAGATTTTCCCCATATGCTCTTTGCCCAGAACATGCTTAGCTGCTCCCATTATCAGTCCCCTGAAAAGTAGTGCATATGTTATGTTGGTGAACCTACCTTGACAACATTACCAGCGAACCAGAGAGCATAGTTTACATTAGGGTTCACTCTTGGTATTGTATATTCTGTGGGTTTTGACAAATGTATGATGATATGTATTCGCCATTATGGTATCATGTAGTATATAGTTTCACTGCCCTAAAAATTCTCTGTGCTGTGCCTGCTCATCCTTACCACCTCCTAACCCATGGCAACCACTGATCTTTTTACTGTTTCCATAGTTTTGCATTTTCTAGAATGCCATATAGTTGGAATCATACAGTAGTACATAGCCTTTTCAAATTAGCTTCTTTCACTTAGTATAATGCATTTAAGGTTTCTCTGTGCCTTGTCATGGCTTGGTAGCTAATTTCTTTTTAGCCCTGAATAATACTCCATTGTCTGGATGTGCCACAGTTTATTTATTCACTTATCTGCTGAAGAACATCTTGGTTGCTTCCAGTTTTTGACAGTTATGAATAAAGTTGCTGTAAACATCCATGTGCAGGTTTTTGTGTGGACATAAGCTTTCAGTTCTTTTAGGTAAATACCAAGGAGCGTGATTGTTATGTCTTACAGTAAGGGTATGTTTAGTTTTGTAAGAAACTGCCAAACTGTTTTCCAAAGCGGCTATACCATTTCCATCCCCATAGCAGCGAAGCTCTTGTTGCATCCTTGCCAGCATTGGGCATTGTCAGTGTTCTGGGTTTGGGCTATTCTAGTTGGTGTGTAGTGGTATCTCATTGTTAGTTTATTTGCATTTCCCTGATGACATGATGTGGAGCATCTTTTCATTGCTTGGTTGTCATCTATGTATCTTCTTTGGTGATATGTCTGTTAAGGTCTTTGGCCCATTATATTTTTTGGGTTGATTGCTTTCTTATTAATTGGGTTCATTTTCTTATTGTTGAATTTTAAGTATTCTTTGTATATTTTGAATAACAGTCCTTTATCAGATGTGTCTGCTGAAAATATTTTCTCCCAGTCTATGGCTTGTCTTCTCATCCTCTTGATACTGTCTTTTACAGAGCAGAAAGTTTAGTAAAGTTCAGCTTATTAATTATTTCATAGGCTGTGCCTTTGGTGTTGTATCTAAAAAGTCATCACCATACCCAAGGTCATCTAAATTTTCTCCGATGTTATCTTCTAGGATTCTTACAGTTTTACACTTTACATTTAGGTCTGTGATCTATTTTGATTTTTTTTTGTGTGTGAAGGGTATAAAGTTTGTGTCTAGATTTATCTTTTTTCTTTTGGGTGTCCAGTTCCAGTTTTGTTTCCTCATTGTATTGCCTTTGCTTCTTTGTCAAACATTGTTTGATTATATTTATGTAAGTTTATTTCTGGGCTCTCTATTAAGGTTCATTGAACCATTTCTTCATTCTTTTGCAAATACCATACTGTCTTGATTACTATAGGTTGAATTCTTCAAGTTGGGTAGTGTCAGTCCTCCAATTTTGTTCTTCAGTATTGTGTTGGCTATTCTGGGTCTTTTGCCTGTCTATATAAATGTTAGAATCACTTTGTCAATATCCACAAAATGACTTGTTGAATTTTTGATTTATATTCTATTGAATGTATAGATCATGTTGGGAAGAACTGACATCTTGACATTATTGAGTCTTCCTGTCCATAAACATGGAATAGGCAGGCATGGTGGCTTGTGCCTGTAATCCCAGCATTTTGGGAGGCCAAGGCGGGAAGACTACTTGATCTCAGGAGTTCAATACCAGCCTGGGCAATTTGGCAAAACCCCATCTCTACAAAAAATACAAAAATTAGCTGGGCATGGTGGTTCGTGCTTGTAGTCCCAACTACTAGGGAGGCTAAGGCAGGAGAATTGCTTGAGCCCAGGAGGTGGAGGTTGCAGTTTGAGTAAAGATTGCATCATTGCACTACAGCCTGGGTGACAGAGTGAGACCCTGTCTCAAACAAAAAGTTAAAATAAAAAAAAAACAAACCATGGAATATCTCTCCATTTGTTTAGTTCTTTCTAGAATTTTATAGTTTTCCTCATATAGATCTTGTGCATATTTTGTTATTTTTATATCTAAGTATTTTATTTTTTAGGGGTGTTGTGCTAAAGTAAATGATATTGTATTTTTAATTTCAAATGCCATTTATTCATTACTAGTATAAAGGAAAGTGAACAATTTCTGTATATGAATCTTGTATCCTGTAATCTTGCTATATAATTATTCTTTTCAGTTTTTCTGTCAATTCTTTTGTGTTTTCTATGTAGGTGAACATGTTCTGCAAATAAAGACATTTTTATTTATTCCTTCTCAATCAGTGTACTTTTTATTTCCTTTTCTTGTCCTACTGGATTTTTTTTTTTTTTTTAGACGGAGTCTTGCTCTGTTACCAGGCTTGGAGTGTAGTGGTGTGATCTTGGCTCACTGCAACCTCTGCCTCCTGGGTTCAAGTGATTCTTCTGCCTCAGACTCCCTAGTAGCTGGGACTATAGTCATATGCCACCATGCCCAGCTAATTTTTTGTATTTTTAGTAGAGACAGGGTTTCACCATGTTGTCCAGTATGGTCTCAATATCTTGACCTCATGATCCGCCTGCCTCGGCCTCCCAAAGTGCTGGGATTACAGGTGTGAGCGACCGCGCCCAGCTGTCTTACAGGACTTGTAGTATGATGTTGAATCAGAAAGGTGAGAGGGGACATTCTTGCCTTGTTTCTGATCTTTGTGAGAAACCTAGTTTCTCACCGTTAAATATTGTGTTAAGTTTTAGAGGTTTTTTTTAAGATACTCTTTATGAAGTTAAGGAAGTTCCCCTCTATTGCTAGTTTACTGAGAGCACCCATTAATTTTAAGGAGTTAGTGTCTTACTTGACAAAACAGGAGGATATCGAACTAGAAGCGAATTTGTGAAGTTACCTTGCTTCTTTCTTTGTATCAAGTCAAACCATTTCTTCGTATGTATGTACACACTCACACACACACAGATACATTCTGATACATTCTGCAGATTGTAAGTTGAAATAGCCTCATTTGAATTATACCTATGAAAGCTCCTGCTTTAGGTTTGTCTGTGCTGCATTTTAATTTGCTGACCCAAATTAACTTTGTTTTATATACGCCTAAGTACTTTAAATCTTGTGTCTAACATTATTTGAATAAACTTCCTTTGTCTGCTTTCTTATCTGATTAAGTGAAGCTATAGAAAACTTGATCTCGGCTGGTCGGAGTGCAGTGGTGTTTACAACTAATTGATCACAGCCAGTTACAGATTTCTTTGTTCCTTCTCCATTCCCACTGCTTCACTTGACTAGCCTTTTACAAAAAATAAAAAATAAAAGAAAACTTGATTTCAAACCACATGTAATTCAGTTTACACATTAATGGCACAACACAAATGGTAATTTCAAAAGTAATGATTGTAATTAAAAAAATTTTTTAATGAGCATATCTGATATTTCAGAGGATCACTTCATACAAAGCGATGGAAGCCCATTATGAAGACCTAAGTGTGGAAGAATCATGAAGTTGTTTGACCTCCCGTTTTGTCCTTTTGCCTTTGTTTCCCTCATTCCTGCTAGCAATGGATAGTATCTTTTCTTAGATTGATGCAGAGTTGCCAGACATGAGATGATCTTTCTTTAGGTTTTCTGGCTTTCTGATCTTTCCTTCCTAGAAATTAGAGAAGCCAAATATTTTGGCTTCAAGTACTTTCCTTTCTAGGTTTGAGAATATATGTATGTTCATAATTAACAAACCCAAGGCAATAACTGTCCAGAGAGAGAACATGAGTGGAATATAAATGCTTATATGTATGGGTTCCCCCCTCCTCAGGAGTGATT